TTCCCATATATGCTCCGATCGCTCGCTGTTTTCATCTCTCCAGCAGCCAACTGATGATATTATCGTTCGTTTTGGTGGTGGAGAAACTTACAAGGTCTTGGGAGTCGGCACGGTGGTGGCTACTCTTCGTCCACAAACCTCGGAGACCACCATCCAGCTAGACAACGTTCTGTTTCTCCCTTCATCGGTTCACAACCTTCTCTCAATTCGTGCACTTGGAGCTGCCTGCATTGCCGTTTCCTTCCCCAATGCAAGGCGGGTTGAGCTCAAAACTGATGAGGCTCATATTGGCGACGGGCGGCAGCCTGAAGATGAGGCTGCACGACGACGAGCGGCAGCCTGAAGTTGAGGCAGCACGACGACGCGGCAGCCTGAAGAGAACTGACGCTACAGGGCGACAGGCGGCAGCTCGAAGAGAAGTGACGCTGCGGGGTGACGGGCGGCAGCCTGACGAGGAGGAGGAGTGCCGCGTACTCGGGAAGAACCAGCAACAAGCGCTATGCCAACGATACGATTAATCGAAAAGCGCGGAAGTCGTCGCGACGGTAAGGTGAGTGACGCGGGAGGAATTCCGGCCAGGATTGAAAGCGGTTTTGCCGAAGACTGAGGGAGGAGAATCCGCAAAGGTAGGAAGATCACAATTCGCGTGTGCGGTAGAATCGCTCTGATACCATGTGAAAACTAATCTTAGAATCGATACATTAGTAATGAGCTTTGAAGATTTTTAAGTACATCCAGAATGAGCAAGGGATGGGGAGGGCATCGGGGGCAATCCGTAGGGATTGGGGGTAATCATCCCAGGGCAATCTCCAATTGGTGGGTTGGAGATTGCTTGGAGATCACAATGGTTTTGGTTTGGGTGTGGGTGTACACCCAAGCAAACACAAAGTGCAAACTACACTAAACTATGATATAGAATGTACAAGTATAAAAGGTGAGATTGAGTGCTAACACTAACAAATTGTTTATGAGACTAGGGCAATAAGGGCAAAGCACTGAGATTGTGATGCACAAAAAAAGCAATGAGAATTGTCCACACCAAGTAATTACGAGTAAAACTCGACTCGTCTAAACCAAGTAATTTCTCGGAAACTGCAGACTCGGTACTCGCTAAAAAAGAGTTACGAAAACGAGTCGAGTAAAATACTCGACTCGTTGCTCATGTCTACCTGAATTCACCAATCCATTTTCTACAAAAACAAACAGAATCGAAAACCCTTTGTAGTCGAACTGAACATGTTCCGTTCAATGTGAACAGTCTTTAAGGGACTGGTGTTCAAAAGCAATGTGGGCGGATTACATACAATGTTTCCTTACAGGGTTACCAGCTTTGTCAGCAAGCCAATGCCAGCGGGGATGGAGTTGGTGAGCTGGTTGCTTGCGAGCGAACTGTCGAGACGAGGGACAAGCGGAGACCATGCAAAGGAGATGGATAAGACAAACTGTTGAGAATGTAGGTAAGACGGTTGTTGAAGACATGAGATTAGACATGAGTACGTGTCAAACTCGGGCTGGCCCGGTTTAAACCTCCCTAGCCGGATAACCAAACCAGATTGGGTTCGAGTCTCTTCTGGTCAAGCTGACTTCTACCCTTGTTGGCTCATGCGCCGACCTGTCTATATGGGTCAGGCCTGTGGGGGTTCATCACGAACCTATGTTGGATTGTCGCAGCCTAGCTCAAGTTTCGCATTACTCACGTTTTTTACTATCCCATGTTTCCGAACTGTTGTTTGTTTCCCCCTATGCGAAAGTTAGTGCCTAAAGGCACTTCAACTCTGTAGTGCATGCAAACACCTGTCGCAAAATATTCTAATCACAAAAAGGTTGCCCACCCTATTTTGTGCGGCCCTGGTTTGGCCATTGCGCATGCCTAACTAGTAGTATTGACCTTGATTGCACATTCTAAACTTGTTTCTTTCCAAAATTGCATATTTACAAATGAAAATTGTATACATCCTTTGCGGGTCCATCCTTGCAAACATAGCAAAAGCTAAGGAATCCTAACAACAATACAGCCGTTCAAAGAAACCTGGCAGAGCTCCATTTATAATCTAACATGTACATACGAAATCGCCTCTTACACTCAGCGACCTCCCGAATCCTACCGTGCAAGACTAATGACTATGTACTCGAGTAGAACCGTATACAATGTCTGTCAGCAGCATCAAGTAGTTTCTGAGTGCTGGTCGCTAGGAATCTCTAGGTTTGGAATCTTCTATAGTCATTAAAACCCTTACGAACGCTCCCTTGATTGAACCTAGAACAAATTGAATTTCAAATAACCACCGTAGGAATACTCGTAAGCTTGGGAGAAAGGTAGCCAAGGCGTCTAGGTAGGAGTTAGAGCTCAAAATGAGCTCTTATCTGCTTTGTACGGTCTAAACAGAACCAGATACCCGAGTCGCGCGGGGGTTGCCTTGCCACGCCCGAAACCTGTGAGACTCAAACCGAAGAACGCGTGGAACAAATTCGGCAAAGAAAAACTCTGTTCGGTTCTATTGTGCAGCAAGTATGTCTCAAAGGGTAGATTCTCACCTTTGGTCTTGGAAATCGTGGGTTCAATTCTCAGCAGCTGCACTTTCCCTTCTTATTATGCTCCACATTACATGTCCACACTCCACCACACTCCACCATAGTGAAGTGTGGTCACAGCCTGGCCCACATGTGCAACATGTGGCCTCATTTGCTAGCTTGGCGAGGTTGGATAGCCTTGCCCTCAGCATTGTGGTACTGCAGCTAGCCTCAAGAGTTCAGCCACATATATGTGGCTTCCCACTTCACTAGGAATCATCCTTGGACAAGGACCTTGATCTAATCTTCAAGACTTGTACCATTTTCTTGCTAAGGATATTTCTTCTTCCTATCGTGCCCTAAGTTCACTGATCCATTCTCTTCATGGTATCAAAGCTAGGCTTCTAGCTTTGTGAACGTCGCACACTTGATTGCTCAAGTTGAGACGCCTCTCGGTCGGCACACCCTTCCTATCTTGGAACCAGATGGTTCCAACTTCATTCCATGGAAGAAATAGATCTGCTACATCTTCAATGTCCTTGGGCTGATCTCCCTTCTTGGAGATCCCAAGGTTGCTGCCCGCCCTTCCATTTCCTCTTCCACAACCAGCTGTGGAGATGCTACTGAAGGCAACAATGGTGCAGCCCCTAAAACAGCCCATTCGATTGCATCGTTGCCGCATAAAGAAAAAGAGGAGCATGCGTACTATCTTCTCATGTCAACCGTCCATCCTCAGCTCTCGCTCACACTTGCTCAAGCCAACACGACGAAGTAGACATGAGCAGGATCTCGAACACCTGTTCGGTTCGCCTCGAACATGTTCGAGGCGAACCGAACTATTTTTTTTTTTTGGAAAAAATAGTTCGAGGCGAACATGTTCGGTGTTCGCCCGAACATGTTCGCCGTTCGCCACCTCCATTTGGTGGAGGTTGGACGAACACGAACATGTTCGTGTTCGTCCAGTGGATGACGCGAACACTAAAGTGTTCGCGTCAAATTTGGCCGCGACCAAATTTAGGTCGCGGCCAAGTTGAGTTTGAGCTCATTTTTTGAGCTCAAACTCAACACATCTTTGTTGGTTAGCCCTCCCTCCCTCACCCACCATAGGCTTCATCCCTAAGAGCTAGACATGAGCACAAGGGCGAACACCTGTTCGGTTCGCCTCGAACGTGTTCGAGGTGAACCGAACAGGTTTGTTTTTTTTGCTTAAATTGTTCGCCGAACAGTGTTCGATGTTCGCCCGAACACGTTCGTGTTCGGGCTGCTGCTGCAATTTGCCCCGCGACGAACACGAACGTGTTCGAGGTTCGCCCGAACACGCCTTCACAGGCGAACGGCGAACACGCGTTTTTGCTTAAAGTGTTCGCCGAACCGAACACTGTTCGGTTCGGCAAACGGATGTGTTCGTCTAGGGGCGAACACGAACATTTCGTGTTCGCCCCTTGCTCATCCCTACTAAGAGCCACCACACACCGTTCCCTAATTATTACATGAACATTTCAACTAAGTAGTTCGTAGTAGCTACGGGATCAATTTCGTAGAGGCTAATTCCCTAGTTGTAGGGGCGGCATTTCTCCGTGCCACACGTAACTAGGAGTTCAATTAGGACCGTGCTATCCGTGGCTTGCGACCGTTCCTTTGGGGTTTTAGGGTTTTAAGGCCGAGGGCTGATTTATGGCTTCCAGCCAACACGGATCTGTAGAACGAGGTGCACGCAGCGCTCAGGGCGGTACACCAGGTTCTCCACCACGACCTATGCAGGGGCGAGTAGGGGATGGACCTGCAGGAGCCGGCGCTTGTTTCGTCGGGGGGTTTCTTTCCGTAGCGGCGCCGACGTCCCGTCACTCGTTCCGTTACTCAGGCCCGCGACCCCCTCCTTCTGGGCAGACGCAGCCGGAGAGTGGGACTGGGGAGGAGGATGAGGAGGAGGAGGGTGAGGGCGAGGAGGATGAGGAGGATGAGGGGAGCGGGGATGACAGTGAGGCCGGGTGGGATCCCGAGACGCATGGCGGTGGGAAAGGGGGGGATGATGAGGAGGACCATGAGATGGATGGGTTGGAGCCAGAGGAGGTGGAGGAGGGGGTGGGAGAGGGTGGTGGAGGGCGGCGACAGAGGCGGCCTCACAGCATGTGGCTGAAGGAGGAGGGAGCGTGGGGGTTAAGGTGGGGATATAGCGGGCATCCATTAGGATGCCGAAGCGGAGGAAGAGGGCGAGCAAGTTGAGGGAGCGAGCATATTCCTGCACATTCACTGGGAAGCCCTTGGGCGAGGGTGTGGTCGCTCCGGAGTTCCTAGACGAGGACGGAGGGTCCGAGAGTAGTAAGGGGACTGGCAAGGGTAATAAGAAACCGGGGTGGCAAGTACAGATGTTCGGGCCTAAAGGGGCAGACGAGAAGCGTCAGTGCAAGATTTGCACTGACAGGATTTCGTGGAAGCAATCCACAACAACACCCGGCGAGAGGCACTTCGAGAGCTACCACACAGCGCATATGCACGTGTGGCATCACCGTTACCACACTCCGTCCGTTCACTTGCCTGGGGAGACGTTTCCACGTGGGGGCTACAAGGGTGTGCCGGATGGCTACGTCGATGGGTGGCCGCATGCCAAGTCTTGGCCGCATCTCGCCAAGAAGAAAGGGACGGCGTCCGGTGGAGCTCGGGGGTCAGGCGGGATGGAGCGGTTCATGACAACCAAGCTGTCCACGGAGGAGCTACGGCAAGCGATCGCCAAGCTGGTGGTCACCTGCGACCTCCCCTTCCGCATCGTCGAGTCCGAGGCCGTGAGTGTCCCATGCCTGGTGTTTTGGCAGTATGTGGTTGACTATTTCATGCTTCTATTGTAATCCACCATTCACATGTCCACCATTCACATGTCCACCATTCACATGTCCACCACCATTCGCATGTCCACCATTATTCGCATGTCCACCATTCACTCACATGTCCACCGTTCACATGTCCATCATTCACATGTCCATCATTCACATGTCCACCATTCACATGTCCACCATTCACATGTCCACCATTCGGATATCCACCATTCACAGTTGTCTCTACTCTACCCTCCTGTGTGCCGTGCGCAGGTGCTTGGCACACGTGATAAACCTTGCAGTGCAGGCAGCACTGGCTGTGGATTCCATACGGAAGTTGCCGAAGATATTGAGAGAGATGGGGTCGTGGACTGGCTTCTCTCCACAGCGCTCGGGGTCTTTCTTGGGCCTACAGCGGACCTTGAACTCGCAGGCCAACCCCGCCACGCCGAAGCCGGCGTTGAAGCTGGTGCAGGACAGTCCTACGCGCTGGGGGTCGACCCACGACATGGTCGAGCGTGCGGGTGTTCTGCAGAACCCCATCACTGTCTTCTTCGCCCAGACACAGGTAACACAAGTGTTTTGTGTGGGTTGTAGTGTGTGGTTATGTCATGGTGTCGTGTGTTAGCACGTCTACACAATACTGTTGGTCAAGCTTGTATGTTGCCGGCCGGATGCCAAAATGCTCCTCCATAATCACAGTTTCCCTCATACCTCCCCCCAAACCATTCCCTCTATCCGACAGGGCTTGTCGAAGACCGACAAGAAGAAGGTGGAGAGTTTGCGTCTGACAGACACAGACTGGGAGACCCTGCAGGCCGTGAAGACGTTCCTAAGCCCCTTCGCCAAGGTCTCCAAGGCAGCAGAGGGGGCGGCGTACCTGACTGTGTCGATGGTGGTGCCGTACTACAACGGCCTGATCGACGCCATGGAGTCGCGCCTTGCCAAGGGGCCATCTCCGACGCTGCAGCCGATGATCGTGGCGGTGCTGAGCCACTTGAAGAAGTACGCCTACATCACCAGCAACGAGTACTGGATCGCCACCTTCTTGGACCCTTCCATGAAGGCGGCGTGGTTCGACGACGCACACTGGGAGAAGCTGCATCCCGAGACCGACAGGAGGGTGAGGCCGCGTCCGGCGTCTGGCGAGGTGATCAAGCTGGTGCGCGACCGCGTGGCCGAGTACCAGGCCCGGGCTGCAGAGCTTGCTCCACGGCCGACCCCACTTGCCCCCGTTGCGGAGGAGGAGGAGGGAGACGAGGAGGAGGACGACGATGACGCGAAGTTTCTCCCTAGTCACCGACGACTTGCGGCGCGTCTGTCGGCGAGCCAGGATGCGGGGGCGGGTGGGATGGTGCAGGACGACGAGGTTAGCAGGTACTTGTCCGAGAGGGTGCGGTGCGACGTGACAGCGCTAGAGTACTGGCGCAGTGCCACCAACATGCAGACGCTGAGGCGCATGGCCCGGGATTATCTCGCCATCCCTGCCACGTCCGCTTCGAGTGAGCGGGTGTTCTCCCTTGGTCGCAACCTCATTTCCTGGAAGCGGCACCGCCTGGCCTCTCAGAGGACGCGAGCTGTCATGATTCTCAGATCATGGTACAGTTCACACCCTGGCCAGAGGATAGGCGAGGGCCGCCGACCGAGAGGCGTCGCACCACCAGAGTTCGCCATTGAGGGTGAGGGGGCAGAGGAGGATGACGAGGAGGAGGAGGAGGAGGGTGTGGAGGCTGACGACACAGCTGGTGGAGAGGATGCTGTTGTTGGTAGTAGCAGTGCAGTGGCGCCTTAGTCACTTAGTGTAGGAATTTGTTAGACTTTGACATTTCCCTTCACAGTATGTGATGTTGTACTATTGGGTTCGTTGCATGCACACATATACACCCTGCACACATTTTGCTATCATCCTGAACCTTGAAAACTGTTTTCTGACATGTGTGACTATAGTGAATTTTCCCCAGGGCGAACACGAACATGTTCGTCTCGAACATGTTCGTGTTCGCCTGCTGAAAAAAATCGTTCGCCACATAGGGCGAACGGCGAACACAAACTTTCACCTAAGTAGTTCGCCGAACCGAACAGTGTTCGGTTCGGCAATTGTACATGTTGGAGGGTGGGCGAACTCGAACATGTTCGAGTTCGCCCTTTGCTCATGCCTAGGCGGGTGGGATGGTGCAGGATGACGAGGTTAGCAGGTACTTGTCCAAGAGGGTGCGGTGCGACGTGACTGTGCTAGAGTACTGGCGCAGTGCCACCAACATGCAGACTCTGAGGCGCATGGCCCAAGATTATCTCGCCATCCCTGCCACGTCCGCTTCGAGTGAGCGGGTGTTCTCCCTTGGTCGCAACCTCATTTCCTGGAAGCGGCACTGCCTGGCCTCTTAGAGGACGCGAGCTGTCATGATTCTCAGATCATGGTACAGTTCACACCCTGGCCAGAGGATAGGCGAGGGCCGCCGACCAAGAGGCGTCGCACCACCAGAGTTCGCCATTGAGGGCGAGGGGGCAGAGGAGGATGACGAGGAGGAGGAGGAGGAGGTTGTGGAGGCTGACGACACAGCTGGTGGTTGAGAGGATGTTGTTGTTGGTAGTAGCAGTGGCGCCTTAGTGTAGGAATTTGTTAGACTTTGACATTTCCCTTCACAGTATTTGATGTTGTAGTATTGGGTTCGTTGCATGCACACATATACACCCTGCACACATTTTGCTATCATCCTGAACCTTGAAAACTGTTTTCTGACATGTGTGACTATAGTGAATTTCCCGCTGGGCGAACACGAACATGTTCGTGTTCGCCTGCTGCAAAAAATCGTTCGCCTCCTAGGGCGAACGGCGAACACATTTTTTCAGCCAAATTGTTCGCGGAACCGAACACTGTTCGGTTCGGCAAAAGTGCATGTTCGAGTGGGGGCGAACTCGAACATGTTCGAGTTCGCCCTCTGCTCATCCCTAATTTGGCGTGTCCCATTCTCGCACCACAGCACCGCTCCAACTCATTCATTCGGATATTGCTGGACCGTTTTCATCTAGAACTACCATTGGAGGCGCTCGCTACCTTCTCACCTTCATCCACGACTATTCCCGCCACATTACCGTGTATCTCCTACGCCATCGTTCAGAGGCATTTTCATGCTTCAAAGATTATGTCACTCGGGTGCACAATATGCATTCCCCAAGGAGGATCAAAGCGTTTCGCTCCGATGGTGCCTTAGAGTTCAATTCCGATGCCTTCACTTCATTCCTTTAAGCTCATGGCATCTCTCGACACCGCTCTACGCCGTACACACCCGAGCAAAATGGAGTTGCAGAATGCCCCAATCGGACTATACTTGAGATGGTCCTCTCCATGCTTCATGACGCACATATGGACAAAGGATGGTGAGGTGAAGCCGCTCTCACTGCTGCCTATCTCCGAAATAATGCCATTAGTCAGGGTGGTTCAACTTCTAAGACTCCCATAGAACTATGGACCGGTGCATGTCCGGACGTATCACACCTCCACATTTCGGTTCACCCGTTTCAGTCCTCATTTCTCTGCAACGGCGCTCTAAGCTCGACGACGGAAACACGGCCAGCATCATGGTTGGGTATGGTCATCTTGACGGCACCAAAGCTTATCGCATCTATATCCCATCTCAGCACCGTGTCACACTATCTCGTGATGTCATCTTCATGGAGCCCTCTTCACCACCTTCCGATGACCCTCGAGAACCTCCATCGTCATCTCCACCACCCATATCATCCTCTCCGCCTCCTCCTCCGCCCCCTTCCCTCTCAGCCCCAACCTCCCCTCCCTCTTCTTTACCTCCCATGCCCTCTTCCACCACCCTCCTCCCACCATCTCCAAATCTGCCCGCACCAGCCACCTCTTCTCCTCCTTGTTTTCCAACCTTCCTCTGCCCTCGACGCCGCAAGACTTCCGCCTTCCATCCCTCTCCTCTCCTCCTTCAGCTCGTCCTCCCCCTTGCATCTCTAGTTCCTCACCACCATCCCCTTCAGCTCTTTCCAATCCTCCACTTTTCTCACTGCTCAAGGTCTTACCCTCTCCTTCTGAACCCATTGACTTCACCCTTCCTCCTCTTTCCAAGACCTCCGCTAATGCCACCCTTCATCATCATTATGAACCTCAAACCATTCATGAGGCCCGCACTGGCCCTGATGCTGCTGAATGGATCAAGGCTGCTGATGCGGAACTCGCTGCCCTGCACGCTACTGACACTTACAGAATTGTTCCTCGACCACCCAAGTGCAAGCCAATTCCATGCAAAGGGATTTTCAAGGTCAAGGAGCATGCTGATGGTTCTATTGAACTTCGCAAGGCCCGAGTTGCTGTCAAAGGTTCCAAACAACGTGACGGTGTTGATTTCCATGACACCTTTGCTCCTACCCTCCGCTTCGCCACCCTCCGCCTCTTCCTCACCATTGCTGCCGCTTTCGACCTGGAAGTCCATCAGCTGGACATTTCCAACGCCTTCCTCAACGGCACTCTTGATGAAATTCTCTACATGATGCAGCCTCCCGGTTATGAACTTCCGGCGGTCCATGGTGTTGAGCAAGTTTGTCTCTTGCACAAACCGTTGTACGGGTCGAAGCAAGCGCCACGGTGCTGGTACCGCAAACTTCGTGAAGAGCTTGCTGCCTTTCATAAAGGCATTCGATTTTTGAAGCCATGCATGTATACATGAAGTTTGCGTGCATGCATTCGATTTCATAAACATCTAACCCATCCACGCGGATCTGGCAGTTAGCTGACTCAAGGAAAAGTCAGAGCCTGGTTGTATATAATTTCGAAAAAACGCAAGTTTGAAATTGCGTATTTTGTTTAGACGCATCTAGAATTCATACGCTGCGCTCTGCGTTTTTTTAAGATACGCCAAAATTTCGCTCAGGCTGACCACCAGAAAAACAGAAACAATTGAACTCAAATTTGAGTCTCGAAATTGAGATCTGAGTTCGCACATTGCAAATGCAGCCTCAGATCTAAATTTCGAAATTGATTGTGGATCATCCCATCCTATCCACTGCTCAACTACACACTCCACCCCCATCGACTACCAATCCTTCCAATTTGTTGCCAAGTGGAAGACACTTCAACCAGACGCATCCTCCCCACCCAATGTCAGGTCGTTTGTCCTGTCGATAATCTCTGCGTTCGATTCCATTCTTCCCTTCTTATTTCACAAACGATAACCTACTGCAGCAGCAGTCAGGTAGTAGACTACTACAGCACCTCCTGTTTCCATCTCTTAACCTAGCATCTAATCTGCCCAGAAAAAAAATAACAGCCCAGGCAACCGAATTGCTGTGTGTACCAGACCCCCTCCGGCCAGCGTACTGCGTATAGACGCTAGCGTACTAAACGCGAAACGTGTTCATTCCAACATAGGGTTGTTTTTGCTCGACCAGCTTGTTACGACGGACGAACCACGACCAGCTTGGCTTGTCAGCCCGCCGGCTTGTCTCGGCTCAAGACGAGCCGGCTCAGCCCAGAATTGTGCTCATGTGGCAGACAGGCGCCTTACAGGGATGTCAGAGATAGTAGAGAGCCAATTTCCACAGGAATTGAACCCGTCAGCTGATTACTCATGAGGGACCTGCCATTGCGTACGAATACAAGAAGGAAGAACGAGACCGGCAGGTGGGGTTTTACTGCAGGAAAGCACAAGGGCAGTGACCTGTGTCAAAAGGAGGATGGAGGGAATTTTGCATCAAGACGAGCCTCTAGGATCATGCACTAGGGTGAGGAGTGGATTTCTTATGACTTTTCTTCAGGAAAATGGTTTATGGAAGCAGTGAATGTGTGATGGAAAATAGAATTGTCCACACCAAAGCAAGGCGAAATCATTTGAGCACCAAATTTGAACCACAACCCATCCCTTCATAACATTGAGAAAGGGGTGGAACTTGGAAGTGGGCACTTCAGGAATGGCTTCAATGCATGCATGCATGTATGTATGTATCATGTCATCCCCTCATGTTGTTAGCTCACGCTCAACATGAGAAAAACGCTTCTGTGAGAGGAATCTGACAGCACTGGACTTGAGTGTCACTAACAGGTAAGAAACTTGGGTGAGTGCGCTGATGGTAGCAGGAATGCTGCCAGACAGCTGGTTGCGTGAAAGGTCTATGAGTAAAAAATCGAAAGCCATGATATAAAGATCATTGCGGTTACAGTGAGGTGAGGTCAACGGTTACAAGAGAAGACATGGACATTTCTTTGAAAAAGGTTGGGGGACAGCGATAAGGTTGAGGAACAACAGATCAAGGTTGAAGATTATCGTCCTTTGGAGACAGATGAGTCGAGGCAAGACGCTGAAAGAATGTGAAACAACATGAGTGAAGGAAATTTGACTTTTACAGCAAGACATGAGCATCGAACCAAACCAGATGAAGGGTCAATAACAAATAAAACGGAGGATGCTAAAAGAATGTGAAACAATATCAGTGATAGTTCTCCCAAGGGCGGTAGTTGTCAACAGCTTACTCGTACTCCCTAGTTGCTGTCGCATTAGTAGGATTGGACGGCGTAGTGGGGACGGGTAGGGTTGAGCACGTTCGATCCTTTGTAGTCGAACTGAACATGTTCCGTTCAATGTGAACAGTCTTTAAGGGACTGGTGTTCAAAAGCAATGTGGGCGGATTACATACAATGGGTCCTTACAGGGTTACCAGCTTTGTCAGCAAGCCAATGCCAGCGGGGATGGAGTTGGTGAGCTGGTTGCTTGCCAGCGAACTGTCGAGACGAGGGACAAGCGGAGACTGTGCAAAGGAGATGGATAAGACAAACTGTTGAGAAGGTAGGTAAGACGGTTTTTGAAGACATGAGTATGTGTCAAACTCGGGCTGGCCCGGTTCAAACCTCCCTAGCCGGATAACCAAACCAGATTGGGTTCAAGTCTCTTCGGGTCAAGCTGACTTCTACCCTTGTTGGCCCATGCGCCAACCCGTCTATATGGGTCAGGCCTGTGGGGGTTCATCACGAACCTATGTTGGATTGTCGCAGCCTAGCTCAAGTTTGGCATTACTCACGTTTTTTACTATCCCAAGTTTCCGAACTGTTGTTTGTTTCCCCCTATGAGAGTGTTAGTGCCTAAAGGCACTTCAACTCTGTAGTGCAAACACCTGTCGCCAGATATTCTAATCACAAAAAGGTTGCCCACCCTGGTTTAGACATTGCGCATGCCTAACTAGTAGTATTGACCTTGATTGCACATTCTAAAATTGTTTATTTCCAAAATTGCATATTTAGAAATGAAAATTGTATACATCCTTTGCGGGTCCATCAGGACCTTTGGGAACTTGGAACCAAATTACAAGAAAGTAAGAGCAGTGAGCTTTGTGATCGAGGAGGGCACAGATCCTGACAGCAAGTTGTAGTTGAGAGAGCTGTTGGTGGTGTGGGGGTTATTAGACGCATGGGAAGAGACGAAGTGACAAAGTCGAGAGCAGAGACAGCGTGTATTGAGTAGCTCGACGAGTCGGGCTCGGCAAGACCCGGCAGTCAGCTTGAGGAGTAGTCTGCTCGTCGGTGGGCCTTGACAGTCTTGTCCAGAAGATGCGCCACTTTTACCCCATCCATGCGTAGATGGCAGATCCGCAAGGATTTGGAACACGGTGACACCACTTCTCGTCCAGCATTTGTCTCCGGCCCGTGCAAAAGCCGGAGCCGGGTTCTATTGGCTTGACCAGCTTGCTACGACGGACGACAAACGAGCCGAGTCAGCTCCTCGAGCGGAGACGAACTCATCTTGTCAGCCCACCAACTTGTCACATCCCTAGAGCCGGCTCGGCCCAGACTTATGCTCAGACGTGAGCAACGAGCGAACCGAACACGTTTGTCTCGAACAGTTTGCGAACACTTGGTCAATTCGAATCGAACCGAACACGTTTGACTCGAACAGTTTTCTTAAATGTTAGTGTTCCCCGTTCAAGTATAGGGTCGAACAGTTTTGAGGCAAGGCCGAACACTAAGGTGTTTGACCCGAACTCGAACAGTTTGCTTTGGGGGGTTCTTTCAGTATAGTCACATTAAGGCAGGGCGAGTGTGCTAGAAGCAATATCACGTTTCCTATAGCCCTACAAGAGATATACTTAGGCTTGGCGCAGTTCTGGTGGATATCCAATTTTGCCTTGCTAAACTCCAACCTAACCGTAATGCCCTTAGTTCCTTTTTTTAACCATCTTCTACCCTAATCCAACCTTATACCTAACGTTTCCAGCCACAATGTGGAATTTTGACCGTGGGAATGTAGTAGTTTTAGTGGGTAGGGGACGGAATGTCATCCTTAGGCTATATCGACGATTGAGCTCATTCTTGAGCTCAATCGTTGCCCTCCCCTTTTAGATCCAACCAGCGTGTCATACTTTGACACGCTGAATTTTCCCTCGAACGCCAAGGTGTTCGAGACAAACACATTGTGTTCTCGAACACCTTGGTGTTCGTGCATTTTTCTGCACACAAACACTCGAACGTGTTCGTGACGAACACCAAGGTGTTCGTCACGAACATTTTTGGGCAAAAAAAACAGTCGAACACTTTCGAGTTGAACCAAGCAGAGGTTCGAATTTTTGCTCATGTCCACTTATGCTCATGTGGCACAAAAGAGCTTACACAGATGACAGAGATAGTAGAGAGCCAATTTCCACAAGGATTGAACCCGTGAGCTGATTACTCCTGAGGGACCTGCCATTGCGTACGAATGCAAGAAGGAGAAGATCGGCAGGTGGGTTATACCCAGGGCAAGCAGAAGGGCAGTGACCGGTGTTAAATGGAAGAACCAAACCAATTTATCCAAACCAATTGCCGTGGTTCGGAACGAAACACAAGGCGAAAAAGGACCTCAGTTCAGATTTCTTCTCACCTCTAGTATGACAGGGTGAAACAAGCGGGAGAATCAGAAAGGAAGCACAGCTGGAGTTGATGAGTAGATTCATCAATATGTAATATGAAATAAGTAGAAAGAGGTTGGCAAATGAAGGGGAGAGAACAGCAGGGATGGGCTTACAGATATAATAGTTTTGTCAAGTTACCAATTTCCGCAGGAATGGAGCCAGTGAGCTCATTTTCCTTGAGGCTCCTGCATGGAGGAACAAGGAGTGAGATTGCAAGAGAGCCAAAGGGAGAAAAAGGCAAGAAAGCTATTTATTTGAAAAAAAAAAAGAAAAACATGCCTACCACCAAATAGTGCAGGACACAAAGGAATACAGGACAGTATTTCATGCAAGAGCAAATTCTCAAGCCCAGTACGGCCCATCGGGGTTCGGGCCTTCTTTTGTCTTGGTTGGCCGGCCTGAGCCGGGCCCAGGCGAACTGGTCCAGCCCGCTGCGTTGGTTACAATGAAGCAAGCCAGCTCGTCACGACATGTTGGGTTTAAGAGCCTTGAGCTCTTGACCTTATGCATCAGTTGCTAAGTTGGTCATTTACGTTTACGTTTACGTACGTACGTGTACGAGTACGTACGTTTACGCGGCTGTTGGGTTGGAGGCCTAATGTACGGGCAGGTGGAAAAATTTATGGGCTGCCCGAATATGTATTTTTTTTTTCGCTAGCGTAGAATCAGACGTTCCGCCCTCAGGAACAATGAAGCATCGCCACACGGGATGCTCGGAGGTCTGCATAGGGGTCTCCATAATACTCGTATACTCTGTTGGAGAGTTGATTGAGTAGATCGATTGATAAGCTAGCTGTGATTGTTGGTTAAGCGTGGTGACTTTTGTTATACTTACTAGCTATAGCTGCAAAATAGTTCTTTGCCGTCGAATCGCATTGTTAGTTTCCGGTTATGACTCGCGGAAGGTGCAGGCGCGCGTTTGCGCGTCTTACGGAAGGTGCAGGAAACTCGCTCGATGTAAATTTAGACTTGAATTGGCAAATTGGTTTGACTCGAAGTTGGGATTCGCTGAAACCAGTGAAGCTTGGCAGTGACGAAACTGCCGAGCGGGTGTCATTTTCTTACCTTGCAAGCAAAGCAATCGCGAGGAAAATGGTTTATGGAAGCAGTGAATGTGTGATGGAAAATAGAATTGTCCACACCAAAGCAAGGCGAAATCATATGAGCACCAAATTTGAACCACAACCCATCCCTTCATAACATTGAGGAAGGGGTGGAACTTGGAAGTGGGCACTTCAGGAATGGCTTCAATGCATGCATGCATGTATGTATGTATCATGTCATCCCCTCATGTTGTTAGCTCACGCTCAACATGAGAAAAACGCAAGGGAAGCAGACGATGGAGCAGTGGTGGATGTGGCATTGCAACGGCCCTATGAGGTGATGCGCATGACGGATTCGACTAGACCTGGGATGATGGGCCGCATGTACGACCTCATGCTGCAGCTGACGGAAGATATGGAGAAGGTGTTGGATGCGGATGAGCAGCAGCTGAGCAGGGCGGAAAAGATGCGGATCTCACGCATTCTGAAGGACCGCTGGGACAACAGCCTCGCGTGTGCCATGCACGTGGCTGGCCGGATCTTGAACCCGCTTAACCAGGACGAGGAAATATTCGGGGTCGATGTGGAGTGAACCAAGGTCTTTAAGGAGTTCATTGCGCGCGCCCAAGACTTCTACAAGAAGTATCCCGCCATGAGTGGAGTGGTGGGGAGGGAGGTGGATTTGGAGGCGGCTGTGACGGCGTACTTGGAGTCGAGGGGGAGTTGTGGGATGCCAAAGGCTATGGAGGCCCGGGAGAAGGTGAAGCAAGGGAAGCAGACGATGGAGCAGTGGTGGATGTGGCATTGCACTGAGTGGCCCGAGCTGGCGCGCCTTGCACGTCGTGTTCTGTCCCAGCCCGTATCTGCCGCATCGTGCGAGCGGAACTGGTCTATGTGGGACTTGGTGCACACTTCAAGGCGCAAAAAGCTTGGCTCAGTGAAGTGCCGCGACCTTGTTTACATTGCGCACAACTGGAACGTTGTGCACAACTTCCACAAGGGCCCACAGGTGGGGGTTGTGAAGGGGAACATCCTTGAGGCTCCTATTCCCGAGGGGTATGTCATGGAGGAGGAGGAGGAGGCGGATGAGGCGGATCCGAAGGTGCTCGAGGACGAGTACGAGGAATACCCGAAGAAGCCGTAGAGGGGAAGGGCGTGATAGTGATTGTGGCACGCTTTAGTACTTGATGGGTGATAGTGGGATGGTATTTAAGTGGGAGTCGATGGGGGCGGATGGTGGTAATAGTTATGTTGAGAACTATGTATGCATGGTACTATTTATGGAGGTTTTTTTGGGGGGGAAAATCACATTGTTGGCTGCCCGAAGGTTCAACAACCCTCTTACCTTCCTCTCTCCCCCCCAAGACCCCCCCCCCTGGTTTTTTTTGGGCTGCCCGAAAGTTTTGTTTTGCCTGCCCGCCAGAGCGTCAAAACCACCGTCAAAATCTCGGAGGGTTCCGTCTAGCGTCAAAAACGGACCGTAAAAAACGTTCCAAAAAAAACGCTAGCTCCGTCAATTCCAACTAAGGTGGGTAGGGACGAGGAGGGCAGCCCTGTGGCAGATCCGAGCGTGGGAGGAGTGGATCTGGGCGTGCAGAGCGCAGATTTGGATGCGCGGAATGCAGATCTGGTCGCGCTGAGTGCAGATCTGGTCGCGCTGAATGCAGATCTGGATGCGCGGAATGCAGATCTGGATGCGCGGGATGCAGATCTGGTCGCGCGGAGGGCATATCTGGTCGTGCAGAGGGCAGATCTGGTCGCGCGGAGTGCAGATCTGGATGCGCGGAATGTAGATCTGGACGCGCAGAATGCAGATCTGGTAACGAAATGTGCAGATCTGGGTGCAGGAGGAGTAGATCTGGGCGTGGGAGGAGTAGATCTGGGCGCGGGAGGAGTAGATCTGGGCGTGGGAGGAGTAGATCTGGGCGCGGGAGGAATAGATCTGGGCGCTGGAGTTGCAGATCTGAGCGCGAGGAGAGCAGATCTGGGCGCTGGGAGGGCAGATCTGGGCGCTGGGAGGGCAGATCTGGGCGCTGGGAGGTCAGATCTGGGCGCTGGGAGGGCAGATCTGGGCGCTGGGAGGTCAGATCTGGGCGCTGGGAGGTCAGATCTGAGCACTGGAGTTGCAGATCTGGATGTGCGTGGAGCAGTACCTTGGAGGGCTGCGCCTTATGGGGCGCGCGGGGAGGGAGGACAGCGCCTAAAGGGCGCGCGAAGAGATGGCAGCTCCATTCTAGAAGGCTATATCTGAGGAACGGGGAGGAGAGGGTGGCCTAAGGACCGAGGGATGAAGGCGTGAGCCATTAGCTCATGATACCATGTTAAAAGAGAGAATTGATGAACTGAATAATGAGACAAGAGGCCCTTTAGTACAAAACATGAGCAAGAGAGAGATGAGAGGGAAGCTTACCCTATTGGCCAATATGTTGACCAATGGGTGAGCTTGCTTGTGGCCCAAGCAACCACAAATGTGTGTTGGTTGGGATTGGTTGAGTTAAGGACCAATCCCAAGCAACCAGAAGCCGTTAGATGAGGCAATGGCTCGAACAGGAATGACGGAGATATAATTGTACAGCAAGACATGAGCATCGAACCAAACAAGACAAACGGTCGATAATGAAATGATTGCAGGATGCTAGAAGAATGTGAAAGAACAAGAGTGACGGAAATATCATGTTATGGTTCAAATACATATATATTGAACCAAACCCTAGTTCTGTTCGATCAAACAGGTTTGAAAATGGTTGAATCAAAGTTTGAGACTACAGTGAATCATGAATGAAGATGATGATGTGGTTGAGCAGGCAAGGGCACGGAACCAGGTAGAGAAGGCTTGTTCAAGTAACAATGCAAGGCTAGTAGTGGTTGAGTAGGCAAGGGCATGTGATTAATTAGACACGAACAAAAACGCGAGTTTGTTTGGGAGTTCCTCGTATGAGGAACAAAGCGAGGCTACTGTAACGAGTAATTCCTCGACTCCCACCACCTCATTACTCGTCACAAACCCTAATCCCGAAACCCTTAGCAAATTTTGCTTTGCCCGATGTGAGGAATTGAGTCTGCATACATCCGGTGCCAGATCGAGACAACTGTTGTCAAATCCCCACTAGAGAGAGAGACGGGTTGGGTTGGGTTGGGTTGGGTCGGGTCATGTCGGGTCGGGCCTACCAAAGGAGCTTCCCCCGTTGGAGAGCTACCGGTTTGGCATGCTGAGAATGAGTTTTATACGATGCTCGACATTGACAGCTCAAACAGATTCTAACGGTTCATTGAAGTCAACTTTGGACCCATTCTGGCTTGAACCAAAAGGTACTGGAAGGTACCCTGGTTTGAGTTTCTGTCCACCTCTAAGCTATAAACACCGAGAAACAAGCAGCAAGGTCACAAACAAAAGACAGCGGGGGTCAGTTAACTCGAAGTATTTCAGAAACAACAAATACAAAGCAAAAAGGAGGGAAGGGAATGGAAAACACGGCTTACAGGGCTACCAAGTTCGTCATGTTACCAAGCTCAGCAGGAATGGAGCCAGTGAGTTGATTTCTATACAATTGCCTGAACGGAGCAACAAGGAGTGCGAGGCCAAGAGAGGCAGAACAGCAGCAAGCAGGAAATGCGGTACTGAACTGGTTCGGTGGGTGCCTTTTTGGAAGACTTGTTCGGTGTTCCGGAGGGATGTCAGGATGGGCGGGGGGAAATTGGGGTCATTGTGAAGTCTTCCGAACTGCACGAAGGTTATCTAGAGCACGGGGTTTAGAACATTGAATCTGGTCCTGTAGGTAGGAAAGAAAGAGGAGTACCTGAAAGTGGGGAGCTGGGGGGGGGGGAAGGATATGAGTCAAGGATTGGAATGTTGAGGATGAGTGGGGGGTGCGCCATGAGATGCAGGTACTAGAGGTGAAGGGCATGCATGAAGAGGAGAAGAATGAATATGAGAGTGTGGGGTGGGATGTATGAGATGAGAGTATTGAGTGAAGTGGAGGAGGGTATGTAATGAGTATAGTGCATGACTGGATGTGGAGCGGATGTACGGAGGAGCCGGGGTATTAGGAGAAAAAGTGAGACTATCATACAAGCAAATGCGTTATTGGGGTGTGCGCAGGCATAGATTCTTTCTTCAGTCAAGAATAGAAGACACACCACATTCCAGGCGCAGCAAACATAGCAAAAGCTTGGCTTTTGTTGTTCTTGGCTTCTAGCTATCCTGGCCAATAACACGTTCGAGGCGAACCGAACTTTTTTTTTTTTTTCGACTAATTAGTTCGGGGCGAACATGTTCGCCGTTCGCCACCTCCATTTGGCGAAGGATGGACTAACACGAACACGTTCGTGTTCGATTTGGGGGGCAGGCGAACACCAAAGTGTTCGCGTCAAAATTGGTCGCGACCAAATTTAGGTTGCGGCCGTTTTGAGTTTGAGCTCATTTCTTGAGCTCAAACTCAAAACTACTTTGGCGCTTAGCCCTCCCTCCCACAACCACCATAGCCTTGCAGTTTTAATAGCCATCGTACACCATTCCTTAACATTTACACTGACATTTCATCTAAGTAGTTAATAGTGTAGGGTCATTTCAGAAACACTAAGGGTTGGTAGCTACGAGATCAAGCTTGTAGAGGTCAATTCTCTAGTTGTAGGGGCGGGCATTTCTCCGTGCCACACGTAACTAGGAGTTCAATTAGGACCGTGCTATCTGTGGCTTGCGACAGTTGCTTTGGGGTTTTCGGGTTTTAAGGCCGAGGGCGGAGTTATGGCTTCCGGCCAACATGGATCTGTAGAACGGAGTGCAGGCAGCACTCAGGGCGGTACACCGGGTTCTCCATCACGACCTATGCAGGGCCGAGTAGGAGATGGACCTGCAGGAGCCGGCGCTTGTTTCGTCGGGGGGTTTCTTTCCGTAGCGGCGCCGACGTCCCGTCACTCGTTCCGTTATTCAGGCCCGCGACCCCCTCCTTCTGGGCAGACGCAGGCGGAGAGTGGCAGTGGGGAGGAGGATGAGGAGGAGGGTGAGGGCGAGGAGGATGAGGACGATGAGGGGAGCGGGGATGACAGTGAGGCCGGGTGGGATCCCGAGACGCATGGTGGTGGGGAAGGGGGGGATGATGAGGAGGACCATGAGATGGATGGGTTGGAGCCAGAGGAGGTGGACGAGGGGGTGGGAGAGGGTGGTGGAGGGGCGGCGACAGAGGCGGCCTCACAGCATGTGGCTGAAGGAGGAGAGAGCGTGGGGGTTAAGGTGGGGAGAAAGCAGGCGTCCATTGCGGGGCCGAAGCGGAGGAAGAGGGCGAACAAGTTGAGGGAGCGAGCGTATCCCTGCACATTCACTGGGAAGCCCTTGGGCGAGGGTGTGGTCGCTCCAGAGTTCCTAGACGAGGACAGAGGGTCCGAGAATAGTAAGGGGACTGGTAAGCGTAATAAGAAACCGGGGTGGCCTAAAGGGGCAGACGAGAAGCGTCAGTGCAAGATTTGCACTGACAGGATTTCGTGGAAGCAATCCACAACAACACCCGGCGAGCGGCACTTCGAGAGCTACCACACAGCGCACATGCACGTGTGGCATCACCGTTACCACACTCCGTCCGTTCTCTTGCCTGGGGAGACGTTTCCTCGTGGGGGCTACAAAGGTGTGCCGAATGGCTACGTCGATGGGTGGCCGCATGCCAAGTCTTGGCCGCATCTTGCCAAGAAGAAAGGGAATGCGTCCGGTGGATTCGCTTCTCTCTACAGCGCTCGGGGTCTTTCTTGGGCCTACAGCGGACCTTGAACTCGCAAGCCGGCATTGAAGCTGGTGCAGGACAGTCCTACGCGCTGGGGGTCGACCCGCGACATGGTCGAGCGTGCGGGTGTTCTGCAAAACCCCATCACTGTCTTCTTCACCCAGACACAGGTAACACATGTGTTTTGTGTGGGTTGTAGTGTGTGGTTATGTCATGGTTTGGTGTGTTAGCACGTCTACACAATACTGTTGGTCAAGATTGTATGTTGCCGGCCGGATGCCAAAATCCTCCATAACCACAATTCCCCTCATACCTCCCCCCAAACCATTCCCTCTACCCGACAAGGCTTGTCGAAGACCGACAAGAAGAAGGTGGAGAGTTTGCGCCTGACAGACGCAGACTGGGAGACCCTGCAGGCGGTGAAGACATTCCTAAGCCCCTTCGCCAAGGTCTCCAAGGCAGCTGAGACGGCGGCGTACCCGACTGTGTCGATGGTGGTGCCGTACTACAACGGCCTGATCGACACCATGGAGTCGCGCCTTGCCAAGGGGCCATCTCCGACGCTGCAGCCGATGATCGTGGCGGCGCTGAGCCACTTGAAGAAGTACGCCTACATCACCAGCAACGAGTACTGGATCGCCACCTTCTTGGACCCATCCATGAAAGCGGCGTGGTTCGACGACGCGCACTGGGAGAAGCTGCATCCCGAGACTGACAGGAGGGTGAGGACGCGTCCGGCGTCTGGCGAGGTGATCAAGCTGGTGCGCGACCGCGTGGCCGAGTACCAGGCCCGGGCTGCAGAGCTTGCTCCACGGCCGACCCCACTTGCCCCCCTTGCGGAGGAGGAGGGAGACGAGGCGGAGGACGACGATGACACGCAGTTTCTCCCTAGTCACCGACGACTTGCGGCGCGTCTGTCGGCGAGCCAGGAGGCGGGGGGGGGGGGGGGGGGTGGGATGGTGCAGGATGACGAGGTTAGCAGGTACTTGTCCGAGAGGGTGCGGTGCGACGTGACAGCGCTAGAGTACTGGCGCAGTGCCACCAACATGCAGACGCTGAGGCGCATGGCCCGGGATTATCTCGCCATCCCTGCCACGTCCGCTTCGAGTGAGCGGGTGTTCTCCCTTGGTCGCAACCTCATTTCCTGGAAGCGGCACCGCCTGGCCTCTCAGAGGACGCGAGCTGTCATGATTCTCAGATCATGGTACAGTTCACACCCTGGCCAGAGGATAGGCGAGGGCCGCCGACCGAGAGGCGTCGCACCACCAGAGTTCGCCATTGAGGGCGAGGGGGCAGAGGAGGATGACGAGGAGGAGGAGGAGGAGGGTGTGGAGGCTGACGACACAGCTGGTGGAGAGGATGCTGTTGTTGGTAGTAGCAGTGCAGTGGCGCCTTAGTCACTTAGTGTAGGAATTTGTTAGACTTTGACATTTCCCTTCACAGTATGTGATGTTGTACTATTGGGTTCGTTGCATGCACACATATACTGCCTGCATACATTTTGCTATCATCCTGAACCTTGAAAACTGTTTTCTGACATGTGTGACTATAGTGAATTTTCCCCAGGGCGAACACGAACATGTTCGTGTTCGCCTGCTGAAAAATATCGTTCGCCACATAGGGCGAACGGCGAACACAAAAATCGTTCGCCACATAGGGCGAACGGCGAACGACTTGCGGCGCGTCTGTCGGCGAGCCAGGAGGCGGGGGCGGGTGGGATGGTGCAGGATGACGAGGTTAGCAGGTACTTGTCCGAGAGGGTGCGGTGCGACGTGACAGCGCTAGAGTACTGGCGCAGTGCCACCAACATGCAGACGCTGAGGCGTATGGCCCGGGATTATCTCGCCATCCCTGCCATGTCCGCTTCGAGTGAGCGGGTGTTCTCCCTTGGTCGCAACCTCATTTCCTGGAAGCGGCACCGCCTGGCCTCTTAGAGGACGCGAGCTGTCATGATTCTCAGATCATGGTACAGTTCACACCCTGGCCACAGGATAGGCGAGGGCCGCCGACCGAGAAGCGTCGCACCACCAGAGTTCGCCATTGAGGGCGAGGGGGCGGAGGAGGACGACGAGGAGGAGGAGGAGGGTGTGGAGGCTGACGACACAGCTGGTCGAGAGGATGCTGTTGTTGGTAGTAGCAGTGGCGCCTTCACATAACATGATGTTGTAGTACTGGGTTCGTTGCATACACACATATACACCCTGCAAACCTTATGCTATCATCCAGAACCATCAAAATCGATTTCTGACCTGTGTGGCTATATTGAATATCCCCTTGGGCGAACACGAACATGTTCGCCTCGAACATGTTCGTGTTCGCCTGTTGCAGCAAATTGTTCGCCTCCTAGGGCGAACGGTGAACACCATTTTTCGCCCAAGTAGTTCGCCGAACCGAACACTGTTCGGTTCGGCAGAAGTAGATGTTCGAGAGGGGGCGAACTCGAACACGCCCCCTGCTAATCCCTCGTTGGGGGTAAGCATTCTCAAATTTCGTATGCATGGGGTTGGGGAAAGCATTTGCGAATTGCGTAAGTTGGTGATTGATAGGAATAGCGTTCGCATTTTTTGTAAGTTGGGGGATTGCGGGGCGGTGGCGAGCAATCGCAAATTTCGTAGATCTAGAGGGGGGATTGCATTTCGCCTTACGTGGACGGGAAATCCAGGTGGCGAGTTGGATACGCTAAAATATGGATCCCTAACTAGCACAAGCCAGATCCAGCCTATATTTTTCCCCCCAGTTTCCCGCAATTCCCCTGTCCGCCGTTGCGTATCTCGAGCGTAACAGAGGATGCCCAAAAGCGAACACGAACGTGTTTGCCACGAACACGTTCGTGTTCGCCTCCGAAACCAAGGTGTTCGCCTTCAGAGGCGAACGGCGAACACCATTTTTTGCTGAAGGCGTTCGGCGTCGAACGGCGGTGTTCGTGCAGGGGCGAACGCGAACACGTTCGTGTTCGCCTCTAGCTCATCCCTAGGGACGGGGGGCTGTTTTCCCTTGCCGTGATTAAGCAGGACAACCTTGAGATCCAACCCTTGCACCACACTGCTCAAGAGGTGCTTGTCAACCCCATAGCTCCATGCCCTGTATTAGGAGCTTGAGCCGTCGGCTTCAAGGCGAAGAGGGGTGATGGGATTGGCGAGGAAGCGAACGCCATAATGACTATATTTCTTCCTTTCCGCGCGGAGCGCAGCTCTAAGTTGCCGAAGGCAGAATTGTAAGGTACGGTTTACGAAGGAGAGTTGTAAGGTAGGGTTTACGAGGGAGAATTATTTCACAAACGATAACCTAATACAGCAGCAGTCAGGTAGTAAACTACTACAGCAGCTCCTGTTTCCATCTCTTAACCTAGCATCTAATCTGCCCGGAAAAAAAATAGCAGCCCACGCAACCGAATTGCTGTGTGTACCAGACCCCCTCCGGCCAGCGTACTGTGTATAGGCGCTAGCGTACTAAACGCGAAACGTGTTCATTCCAACTTAGGGCTGTTTTTTCTCGACCAGCTTGTTACGACGGACGAGCCACGACCAGCTTGGCTTGTCAGCCCGCCGGCTTGTCTCGGCTCAAGACGAGCCGGCTCAGCCCAGAATTTTGCTCATGTGGCAGAAAGGCGCCTTACAGGGATGTCAGAGATAGAAGAGAGGCAATTTCCACAGGAATTGAACCCGTCAGCTGATTACTCCTGAGGGACCTGCCATTGCGTACGAATACAAGAAGGAAGAACGAGACTGGCAGGTGGGGTTTTATTGCAGGAAAGCACAAGGGCAGTGACTTGTGTCAAAAGGAGGATGGAGGGATTTTTGCATCAAGACGAGCCTCTAGGATCATGCACTAGGGCGAGGAGTGGATTTTTTATGACTTTTCTTCAGGAAAATGGTTTATGGAAGCAGTGAATGTGTGATTGAAAATAGAATTGTCCACACCAAAGCAAGGCGAAATCATCTGAGCACCAAATTTGAACCACAACCCATCCCTTCATAACATTGATGAAGGGGTGGAAGTGGGCACTTCAGGAATGGCTTCAATGCATGCATGCATGTATGTATGCATCATGTCATCCCCTCATGTTGTTAGCTGACGCTCAACATGAGAAAAACGCTTCTGTGAGAGGAATCTGACAGCACTGGACTAGAGTGTCACTAACAGGTAAGACACTTGGGTGAGTGCGCTGATGGTAGCAGGAATGCTGCCAGACAGCTGGTTGCGCGAAAGGTCTCTGAGTAAAAAATCGAAAGCCATGATATAAATATCATTGCGGTTACAGTGAGGTGAGGTCCACGGTTACAAGAGAAGACATGGACATTTCTTTGAAAAAGGTTGGGGGACAGCGATAAGGTTGAGGAACAACAGATCAAGGTTGAAGATTATCATCCCTTGGAGACAGATGAGTCGAGGCAAGACGCTGAAAGAATGTGAAACAACATGAGTGAAGGAAATTTGACTTTTACAGCAAGACATGAGCATCGAACCAAACCAGATGAAGGGTCAATAACAAATAAAACGGAGGATGCTAAAAGAATGTGAAACAATATCAGTGACAGAAATATCATGATACGATTCAAAGACATGATCATCGAACCATGCCATAGTTGTGTTCAATCAAACAGGTTTGAAAATGGTTGAATCAAAGTTTGAGACTACAGTGGATATTGAATGAAGATGATCGTGCCTTGGAGACAGATTGCCGAGATAAGGCTTGAGGCTAGATGTACATGAAACATCAGTAGACGCATTCATTTGCGGAATAGAGATTTAAAGTTATTAAAGGGGCAACTAGGAGGAGGTAGACAGGTGAAGAGAAGGCTTCGAAGGTGAGATAATGGATGTAATGGATAAAGGTGAGACTTGTTATTTTTTTAGCCTAATTAAATGCCTCCATAGCAGAAAGCTTGCAATTTCGATTCCTTATTCTTCTTAATTAGTGCACGTTTCCTTCATGTGAGCTGTAAGCAAACTCTTCTAGCAGTGCAGTAAAGGATCTCACAAAACCGTCAGTGCAGTCAGCTTTGTGATTGAGGAGGGCACGGAGCGAGAAAGCATGTTGGAGTAGAGATAGCTGAGGGAGGCAAGGCAAGGCAAGTGTATTGACAAAACAAAGAGGTTGTCCAACGTTACAACAGCAGGATAGAATCGCCAGATTTGATCCTATTTTTCTATATCGTTCATTTACAACCCAGAATTGTCGCTGAAACTTCTTAGGGCTTCCTTTCGAGTTTTAGAGCGGCCGCACCCGTGCCATCTGCTCAACAACGGACTTATGCAAACCAGACTTTCTTCCCAGCCCTTTCACTTCCTACAATCTCTCCAAAACGCACTTCCGTTATGTATCCAACCAACCCCAACAGGACTTCTCAAAACACTCTTCTCAGATGAGACAGACCTTAGGTTTCCTGCATGTAATCTCCCTTGAATTTACCAAAAGCAGCAGGCCCAGCACAAAATTTACTGCGTAGTGCTAGCATTATGCCCCCCCCTCCGGGCTAGACATGAGCAACGAGGGAACCGAACACGTTCGACTCGAACAGTTTTCCCCAAAAGGGTAGTGTTCGACTGTTTGAGTATTGGGTCGAACGCTTAGGTGTCTAACCTGAACTCGAACAGTTCGAGTTTGGGGGTACTTCTCAGTATAGTCACATTCAGGGCACATAGCCGAACCTTGGCCAGCTTAATTCACTAAGCGTTGTAGCCAAATCTTGGCCGGCTTCACGTTCACTTACACGAGCGATAGTGACGATTGGCACTTTTCTGGTGGTTCTTGAATTTCGCATTGTACAACTCTGACCTAGACTGAAATGTCACTAACATCTGTTTTAAACTGTTTCCTACCCTAATCTAACCTTAAACCTAACATTTACTGTTTAAGTTTTGATTTTAAACCATGGGAATGGCCTAGTTAACTTGGGAAGGAACACAAGTGAGAAGGGGAGCGAGCAAGGAGGAGAGAAGTGAAGGCAAGTAGGGCAGAGTAGAGGGCAGTGCAATAAATGAAAGCGACAACAGGCACAAGTGGAGGACGTCATTGCAGTGGAGAAGGAGCGAGTGACGCCGGAAAGAGCAGCAGAAGCAAGAAACCTCACAGGGTGATCATGCTGGTCAGTGAGCCAACATCAGCCGGGATAGCGCCGGTGAGCGTATTGTTGTAGAGCCACCTGCTCGGACAGAGAGAGAGGCTGTGTGTGTACGAGCGTGCAGACATGCGTGCGTGCGTGAGCACCTTAGTTGCGGAAGACGCGTATAGCGTCTTAGACGCGTCCGTCTAGACGCAGCGTCTAAGACGCTAGACGCTAGACAGTGTAGATTAGACGCAATATTAGACGAAAGCCCGGGCAGGCCTAAAAAAAATGTTCGGGCAGATTAAAAAAAGTTCTATGGGGCATGGGGAGGGTGGGGGACATGCACC